AAAATGAACCACTATTTTTTCAAGCTCTCTATAAAGTATGACAATGGTGCTTTAATAGGGGTTGCATTAAATCTGTAGATTGCTTTGGGTAGTATGGACATTTTAACAATGTTGATTCTTCCCAGCCATGGGCATGATATGTTTTTCCATTTGTTGACACCTTCAGCTATTTCTTTTCTCAGAGTTTCATAGTTCTCTTTATAGAGATCTTTCACTTCCTTTGTTAGGTAAATTCCCAGATATTTCATCTTCTTTGGCACTACTGTAGAAAGGAATAGAGCCCTTGACTCTATTTTCAGCTTTACTATTGTTGGCATATATAAAAGCTACTGATTGGTAAGTATTGATTTTGTATCCTGAGACAGTGCTGTATTCCTTCATTGCTTCTAAGAGTTTCGTAGTTGAGTTCCTGGGATTTTCCAGGAATGGGATTATATCATCAGCGAAGAGTGAGAGTTTGATCTCCTCTGACCCTATTTGGCTACTCTGATCACCTTCTCTTGCCTGATGTATTGTCTTTTTTTAGTAATTAAAAATTTGTTTTGTAGGCTGATTCTTTGCCAAAGATCAGATAGAGGTGCACTTAAGGTCGTCTTAGGTCTTTTCTGAGCCTGAGCCTTTCCCTGAGCATGTGTGATCACTTTCTACTTTTTTCGATATATGTGATTGTTTTTGAATGTCATAGTCTTCAATAGCAGCCTCTCAAAAGGGGAAAACAGAAAAAAATGGGAGGAAAAGGTTCTGGCCCTTTAAGTTTCCCTGAAAGTGATTTCAGTTGGAGGAGGAGGGGCTTGCAACAATGTGGGAGAGCAACAATGGCTACCCAGCTCTGTGTGTACCTCTGTGATCTGAAGCAGTAATGGGTGACCAAGTACAGATTCCCCAATACTGGGAAAACAGGATCTTTTTTGCCTGTTCTGGCTCCCATAGGCTGCATTTATATACTGACTGCTCCAGCAACATGTGCATAGCTGCCTATCCTGGAGTTGGAGATGAGGGATGGGTAGCTGATACCCTGCTAAGAGCTGAAATGACTGAAATTAACCCCAATATACTGTTGAAGCCTTCATCTGGAAGTTATAAGGTCTCAGTATCCTCCAGAGTTCCAAAATAGTTACATCAGGCAGAGTAACTGCCTGTGTGGTTGTTTTCTAGGTGGGGAGATAGATTCCTGGTGCTTTTCTACTTCATTTTCTTCTGGGAACTCTCCCGCCTGGATTCATTCTTGACTCCTCTTTTTTGCTCACATCAATTCAATGCACATTTCATCTGCTAGCAAATCTTATCCTTTTACCTGCAAAATATATCCATAAAGATTGACAACTTTGGCTCAGCACCTATAGCTCAAGTGGCTAAGGCGCCAGCCACATACAACACAGCTGGCAGGTTCGAATCTGGCTCTGGCTTGCCAGTCAACAATGACAACTACAACCAAAAAATAGCCGGGCATTGTGGCAGGCGCCTGTAGTTGCAGCTACTTGGGAGGCTGAGGCAGGAGAATCGCTTAAGCCTAGGAGTTGGAGGCTGATATGAGCTGTGATGCTTTGGCACTCTACCCAGGGTGACAGCTTGAGGCTCTGTCTCAAAAAAAAAAAAAAGAAAAGATTTGACAACTTTTCACTACTTCCAAAGTAACACTCAAATCCTCACCAGTTTGTTTCTTCCTCATTACTCTAGAGCCTCCTAACCGATGTTTCTGATTCTCTTCTTGTCCCCTTGTCTGTTCTCAACCCATTATCTGAATGATTGCTATCATTAATTGGGCTGTCTCTCGGCGTAAAACCTACCTTTGACCTGAAATAAAAGTCACAGTCCTTGCAGAGAGTCTGCATGGCCCCTCCTTGTTCTTGCTCACTTCACTTCAGACATATCGATCCTTGAACTAACTAGTCAGGCAAATTCCTTCTTGAATTGAGGATTTTCTGTTTCTTTTGACTGGGAGGCTCTTCTCCTAGTTGTTACCACACCTCATTCCTGCTTTAAGATCCTTACTCACATGTCACTTTCTCAGTGAATCTTTCTCTAACCTTTCCATTTGAAATTACACCTCTTCTTCCTACTGAGTTCCCTGTCCCTTTGGTTAATTTATCTCCTTAGCCTTTATTACTATCAACATGTATTGTTTATTTTCTCTCTCTTTCCCCCAGGAATATAAGATTCATAAAATTTCTTTATTTATAGCTATGCGCCTGGCACCTAAATTTAGTATTTGTTGAATGACTGAACTAATGAATGGAGTTCCTGAGTTATCTTGGTTTATTATTTATTTATATTCTATCTAATTTCACAAAGAAGTAGAGATAAGAAAGCATCTCAAAGATAAATTGGAGCTGATGAAAATGGTTTATATTGGAAGAGAGATTTCAGTGAAACTGTAGGAATAGATGTCATATCTTAGATAGAGCATAAAGAATCAGAAGAGGTGGGGCCTGGGGATCACACCTGTAATCCTAGCACTTTGGGAGGCTGGGGGAGGAAGCTCTCTTAAGACAAGGAGTTCAAGACCAGCAACATAATGAGACACTGAGCAGGACGATTGCCTGAGCCCAGAATTTTGAGGTTTCAGTGAGCTCTGACAACACCACTGTACTCTAGTCCAGGTGACAGAGTGAGACCCTGTACCCAAGAAAACAAAAAGATATTGGAAGAAAAAAAGACTTAAGGATGGGACACTTGAAACACCCATGGGTACCAGTTGACCGGAGAGCAGTATTGTCCTTAGACTTAGCCAAGTGGGAACCCTGCTCTGGGCTCTTGTGTTTTCATGGTTCTCATCTGGTCTTTTTCCAGTTATACCCTTCCCCATAGAGTGATAGGAAGCCAAAGTGACTAGTCTACCTGGTCTCTTTCTAGAGCAATGACTGAATATTTGGATCCTGGAATTTCCTGCCCATGTGCCCCTTCATGGGTCTCTTCTCTTTTTTTTTTTGAGACAGAGCCTCAAGCTGTCCCCCTGGGTAGAGTGTCGTGGCATCAGGAGGAAAAGGTTCTGGCCCTTTAAGTTTCCCTGAAAGTGATTTCAGTTGGAGGAGGAGGGGCTTGCAACAATGTGGGAGAGCAACAATGGCTACCCAGCTCTGTGTGTACCTCTGTGATCTGAAGCAGTAATGGGTGACCAAGTACAGATTCCCCAATACTGGGAAAACAGGATCTTTTTTGCCTGTTCTGGCTCCCATAGGCTGCATTTATATACTGACTGCTCCAGCAACATGTGCATAGCTGCCTATCCTGGAGTTGGAGATGAGGGATGGGTAGCTGATACCCTGCTAAGAGCTGAAATGACTGAAATTAACCCCAATATACTGTTGAAGCCTTCATCTGGAAGTTATAAGGTCTCAGTATCCTCCAGAGTTCCAAAATAGTTACATCAGGCAGAGTAACTGCCTGTGTGGTTGTTTTCTAGGTGGGGAGATAGATTCCTGGTGCTTTTCTACTTCATTTTCTTCTGGGAACTCTCCCGCCTGGATTCATTCTTGACTCCTCTTTTTTGCTCACATCAATTCAATGCACATTTCATCTGCTAGCAAATCTTATCCTTTTACCTGCAAAATATATCCATAAAGATTGACAACTTTGGCTCAGCACCTATAGCTCAAGTGGCTAAGGCGCCAGCCACATACAACACAGCTGGCAGGTTCGAATCTGGCTCTGGCTTGCCAGTCAACAATGACAACTACAACCAAAAAATAGCCGGGCATTGTGGCAGGCGCCTGTAGTTGCAGCTACTTGGGAGGCTGAGGCAGGAGAATCGCTTAAGCCTAGGAGTTGGAGGTTGCTATGAGCTGT